TCCTCTTTTTCACTATTGTCAGTCAGGTGAGAAGTTTTCGCTTTTGCTCCTCTTTGGCTTACAAAGGAGACATTCTCAGAACAACACCCCTTTACTTGCGTCCGGATAAGAATGCGTTGACAGGGCCTGTGTATGGTTCAGCGGCCAGAGCAGAGGCTTTGCATGCAGGAAGCGCACGCTCAGCTGTCAGCTCTGCGTGGCCAAGTACCACATGTTCTTCCAAGTATCACCAGGAGCATTCTCAAGCCCAGAGCCGGCAGTACAGTCCCCGAGCACTGCTGGGTGGGCCTATGAATAAAAAAACAAGAGGGTGTGTACATACAGTGTAGATGACATCTGAAAATAGTTTTTTTTCTTTGCCTTTGAATATGAGGGAATAGCTAAAATTTTAAAGCATTACTTGCTCTAAAAGGGCTGCAGCGATAGCACAGTGGGTAGGGCGTTTGTCTTGCATGCGGCCAACCCAGCGAACCCAAGTTTCGATTCCTCCGCCCCTCTCGGAAAGCCCAGCAAGCTACCCAGAGTATCCCACCCACATGGCAAAGCCTGGCAAGCACCCTGTGACGTATTCGATATGCCAAACACAGTAACAAGTGTCACAATGGAGACGTTACTGAACCCGCTCAAGCAAAATCAATGAGCGATGGGAGAACAGTGACAGTGACCGTGACTTGCTCTAAACATGAAAAGAAGCAGGGAAATATCACATGCCTACAAGTAGACACTCTAGACTTGTTGATAACTTAATATATCTTCAAAATATCCTGTCATGGGATCCAGAATGTTGCTTGAGTGCTCTCTCTCTCTGTATAGATAGTTAGATATAGATATAGATTGATGGATAGGTATAATATTTGTGTTACATATAATAGAAATGTATCTCAGTAAAATTCACGGCTACTGAAACCCGTTCACAGAAGCTCAGAGCAAAAAGCCCAGCCCTTCCCTTCCCACTACAGATAGCTCAGCACAGGCGTGCAACGGTGCTTTATAAACATGGTCTTTTATTAAGGAACAAATGGAACTAAGCCATTTAAATTATGTTGTACCAGTATATTTTATTTTCGAGTAATTTTTCAGTAATGGACTGGAACTGTGTCTTCTTTCGAAATTCAAAATCAATCTCATTATGAACTTGTGAGTCATTCTGAGGAAAACAAATACAAAACCAAAATGACCTTTAAATGTTCTTTCAAGTCTGAGGTTCTGAGAGAACACTGTGCTGGGGAAATGACATGTGTTTTAATGGCCCGGATGTTTGAAATGGCGCTTTTAAAAATGCCTGAGTGCCCTAATTCTGAATCCACTCAATTCCCAGTTCCATTGGCTTCGCCTTATACTCTGGTTTATGTTTCTTTCTACCCTCCTCCCCCCACCTGCCCATCATTTCCAGACAACACTGAAACTTCTTAGGCTATCACATGAGGCTTTTTACTGGTTGGTTCCATTTCTTTTAAAATTTTAATTTATTGTAGCTTGGGCAGGGCTGGAGCGATAGCACAGCAGTAGGCGTTTGCCTTGCACGCAGCCAACGTGGCCGACCCAAGTTCGATTCCTTCGCCCCTCTCGGAGAGCCCGGCAAGCTACCGAGAGCATCTCGCCCGCACGGCAGAGCCTGGCAAGCTAACTGTGATATATTCGATATGCCAAACACAGTAACAACAAAGTCTCCAATGCAGACGTTACTGGGTCCGCTCAAGCAAATTGATGAACAACGGGAGGACAGTGACAGTGACTTGTTATAGCTTGGGCTGGAGCAATAGCACAGCGGGTAGGATGTTTGCCTTGCATGCGGCCAACCCGGGTTTGATTCCTCAGTCCCTCTCAGAGAGCCCGGCAAGCTACCAAGAGTATCCCGCCCGCACAACAGAGCCTGGCAAGGTAACCGTGGTGTATTCAATATGCCAAAAACAGTAACCACAAGTCTCACAATGGAGACGTTACTGGTGCCCGCTCGAGCAAATCGATGAACAACAGGAGGACAGTGCTACAGTGCTATTGTAGCTTAGGAAATGACATCCGTGTTCAAATTTATGATGTTGATATACAAACATACTTCAGTCACCACCACAACCACCGCAGTACCCCCCACCCTCTCCCAACAGGTGAAGGTTCTTTTCTATTTTGGTTTGCTTTGCCTCCCTGCCCTTCCCATCTTGTCTTGTCCTTGCTTCTGTATTCCAATGTCAAGTGTTTGTCATTGTTCCGTACTGTCTGCGTTATTTAGACTTTCTGTGATCTCTAGATAAGTGAGATCATCCAGTATTTATCTACTTCCCTCTGATGATTTCACTTAACGTGACGCGCTCCAGTTCTATTCATGGTGCAGCAAAGCTCACGGTTTCATCTTTTCTTTCGGTTGCATAGTATTCCATTTTGTATATATACCACAACTTTTCTATCCATCTATCCATGGTCAGGGCTTCATTCTGTTTCTTCACGGATGACCTAATTTTGGCTAGAGGAGTTACTGTTGCCTGAAATTTACTGACACACTCTTTACACTTTAAATTTCTATTTGGCTGCAAATAGCAAGTTTTAAATTTTTTTCTCTGTCTTCTGTATTCATATAAAACCTCTTATTTGGTCCTAAATTCTATGTTATTGTGTTAATATGTTTTGTGACTTATCCTCTTCCTGGATAGCAACATTCATCTTGAATTTTATTTCTTTTCTGACTGAGTCTAGCTCAAATTGTGCATTAGAGACTAGAAATATGACATTCATATTAGAGTCTTTTGCAATTTGATATGTGTAAGGTAGTTAAATATTTCATGCCTGACATGTAAGTCTGCATAGTGATGAATGAGTAAAGAGGGACTCACACCAAATTTACTGCAAAAGAATTTGCATATTCTATTTGATGGCAAATACAGCTTTAATGAAAGATCTGTGTGAGTCTGGAGATATCCTTTATCCAAGATAAAATATTTGTCTTAGGATAAAATTCTGAGTTTGAAACTAAATTGAAGATGGATTTGGTGAAATGATTCAGTGTTTGCAAAGCTTGTGTCAGTATCTGTCTCGTCCAGTGATTCTGACTGATCCTTAAGAGGAAAAGAGACCATGAGGCTCATTAACCTTGAACTTTGACGTGTAACACCTCATACAGACATAGGTTTTCAGTTCATTGATATTTGCAGTTGATTTTTGTCCTTTCTTTAAAAAAAGAGTTTTTAAGAGGTTTACTGCAATTACAATTTTGCTTAAGTTTTTTAGAATTAAGAATGGGGGCTGGAGAGATAATACAACAGGTGAAGGCTCTCTCCTTGCATACAGTTGACACAGGTTTGAGTCCCAGAACTACATTTGGCCACTGGCATACTGCCAGGAGTGATCTCTGAGCACAGACCCAGGAGTAATCCCTGAGCACTTCCACATGTGTCCCCAAAACAGCAACCATAAAAATTAGGAATGGCTATAGCACTGCACTGTAGCTCTGTCCTCCCGTTGTTCATTGATTTGCTCGAGCAGGCACCAGTAACGTCTCCATTGTGAGACTTGTTGTTACTGTTTTTTGGCATATAAAATACACCACAGGGAGCTTGCCAGGCTCTGCCACGTGAGCGGGATACTCTCAGAGAGGGACGGAGGAATTGAACCCAGGTTGGCCGCGTGCAAGGCAAACGCCCTACCCCCTATGTTATTCCTTAGGTCACTGTCACTGTCCTCCCATTGTTCATTGATTTGCTTGAACGGGTCCAGTAATGTCCCCATCATGAGACTTGTTGTTACTGTGTTTGGCATATTGAATACATCATGGGTAGCTTGCCAGGTTTTGCTGTGTGGGTGAGATACTCTCGGTAGCTTGCCGGGCTCTCCAAGAGAGGTGGAGGAATCAAACCTGGCTTGGCCGGGCCCACTGTGCGCAAGGCAAATGCCCTACCGCTGTGCTATCGCTCCAGCCCCTTAGGTAAAGAGAAGGAAATATATAATAATAAAAATTGATATTTTCACTTGGGAAAGACAATCTGTAGTGCACAGATGAAACTTCTATGAGAAAGCTATTTGCAAAAATGGCGAGGCCACATACTGTGGCTATTGGATTTAATTATACTTCCATTAGTTTTTGTTTATATGCTGTTTTTCTACTTTATAATCTAATAAATTTTGATGCATCTTCTGGCACTGGGCCATGTTTTTGTTCCTGTCCCATCTCTTCTTTTGTCACAAAGCATTGCTTTTCTGACAGCAAAGCGTTACATCTGCTAACATTTTATCTAGATTTTCTCTAGATTTTATCTAGATATTTTATCTAGATACTTTATCTCACATTTTATCTAGATATTTCACAAAATATCATCATAAGAGTAAAGGAAGCTAGTTGTATAGATGTAAATACTGAATAGCATAACTCTGCATATTTTAGAAATCGTTTGAAATAGGCATTGAATCAAAAATCTCAAAGACTGAATTGAGTATGGAAATACTGGCACTTATATCAGCTTTGGAATCATGGTATCTAACAGCTATTAGGTGTTTACTTTGTGCCAACTATTATTTTAGTATATATATACATTTACATGTATGCATATATACAAATGTGTGTATACATACACACACATACATATATATATATATGTATACACACACTTATTTAAATACTGTGTCATTCCCATGAAACAGAAAGCATCATTATCATCTTGGGATTGAGAAATGGAAGCAGAGAGTCAGTAAGAACTCAGTCATATACGAGATAAGAGGTAGAGCCAGATTTTGATTTTGAGCATTCTTGACTTTAAAGCAAATGTTCTTCATCACTATGCATGATACTCGAGAAACACAAATACAGAGATTTCTGTTCAAACACAGAATCTGGTAAAATTATTGTCAATAACTTCTTATTGACTATTTAAGTACTATAGAATTTATAAGAGAAATGTCGCAACTCTATCATTTATTTACATAATAATGTAGATTGGATGAACTAGTGCATTGAACTACTTTAAAATATTAAAAGCGTACTAAGGTTATAACACTTTTTTATTTTATCTTTTCAGCAATCTTGACACAGAAGAACTGTGTGGTAAGTTTTTGTTCTAAGACCAAATAAATGCATTATTTGCTTTAAAATATAAAAAAGAACAATGGTACCTCTTTCTACATGCCTTGAAATTAATGTTACATGTTAAAAATGCTGGATTAAAATAAAAAATCGAGATCCCAAGAGATTTATCTTTATTCTGTGAGCTTTGTTCAAGCACATATTTCATAGAAGAGTCAAGCTTCATTCATGGGCAAAAATTTATTGACATGATTAGTTTTCTAAGAGCAAGTTTTTCATCATTTTGAGTATTTCTAAATATTCTTGAACATGGCACTTAATGCAATATTGCTATTCTCATCTAATATATTGTGCAATTACTTTGTAATCATTTTGCAAAGTTGACTCCTTGGCATGTACAAACAACTTTGTCCCGCACTTGCTCGAGCCATTCTGGAGTTGAAATGTCACTTACGAAACAAGGGACTTAGTGAGAAGAGAGAAATCTTTGCAAATTCATTATATAATGACCCTTTTACTTTCAATATTTGTTGTTGGAAACAAAAGTCACAGGTTACAAATGAGGCAAGGTAAATCTTTTTGTTATTCATTTCTTTTCATGAAAAAAATTGCAAGAAAAGAAATTAACCTTTCTTATGAGTAGCAGTCATTGTAAAGTTGCCATGACCATCTATATGCTGAAATCCCTGCCGATGGCAAGATGAAGTAGAGAAATAAGAAGATAGTTTTTGGAATTTCACAATTTTTTTTCACAATTTTCATCTCTCTCTATGAAATTATTCATCTTGAAATAACTATAGATTTTCTCTTAAAATTGGAAGGTTTTTAATTTTGTCTTAATATAAATGCATAAGGAATACTTGTCCAAATATAAGCATATTGTCTAGGTTACTTAGTTATTTTGGTAGCTAGGGATGCATTTCTTTGAAAACTCTTAACTGAAATGGCAGTTCTTTCTGAAATATGTAAATTCTTACATGTTTAAAGTTCGCCAAAGACATTAAAAAATCTTTTGTAATATCCATGGTGGTAGATCTATATATATACAGCATGAGATATTGTGCCTGGAAAAAAATTCAGAATATAGGTTTGCCAGATGAATATGGATAGTCAGCATAACAGAATGAAAATGATAGTCATCAATTTTCAATTTCTGAACTTAATACTTTTTCAATGATAATATAAAACTATTTTCTGTTATGGTGCTAACGTTATAGCTTGTTCACTGAGAAGAATCCAAATGAAAAGCAGGTGTGCTTGTTCATAGTGAAGGCACTTTGGTACACACATAGGTCATGCTTTTGTTCATAAGGAGCAATGGCAGATAATATTGAAGATAATGCAGACACACTCTCAGACACATCAGACATAACACGTGGGCACCGCTGTGCTAGCTGGGCTAATGTGCAGGTGAGGACTCAGAACCGTTAATCTTTTGATGAGTAGGAGTCACTGGAAAGTTGTTGCCCATGATCATCCATGCGCTAAAATCCCTACCAGGAGGGAGATGAAGCAGAGAAATGAGAAGAGAGTCTTTGGAATTTCACAAGATTGGGAGGCTCTTTGCCTCAAAGGTGTTAGATGAGAGCAACCATTCCCACACATCATCCAGATAATTTTGTTTTTAGTACTAAAGCCTACATGATGTGATGCATGAAAATGCAAATGCATAGGGGCTCTTAACAAAACATTTAGAGCTTATCTATCATCATTAAAAATTATGTACCTGTCAGAACAGATGAAGTCATGAAATTTACATACAAGTGGTACTACATGGAAAGTATCATACTAAGCGAAATGAGTCAGAAAGAGAGGGATAGACATAGAAAGATTGCATTCATCTGGGGAACATAAAGTAACAAAATAGGAGACCAACACCCAAAAATAGCCAAGATAAATACTAGGATGTTTACTCCATGGCTTGGAGGCCAGCTTCACACTCTAGGAGTAAAGGTAGCCCATATGTAGAAGGGAGCACCAAATAAAGGGTGTTGTTGGGAGGATCCTCCCAAGATGCATGCCGAAAGTAGACTATAGACAGAACATGATTGCCACTCGATTCCTCTTTTGCAAACCACAGCACCCAAAAGGAGAGAGAGAACAAAAGGGAATGCCCTGCCACAGAGGCAGGATGGGATGGGGGGATGGGGGGTTGGAGGGATACTGGGATTAGTGATGGTGGAGAATGGGCACTGGTGGAGGGATGGGTACTTGATCATTTTATAACTGAAACCCAAGCACAAAAATTTGTAAGTCTACAATCGTACCTCATGGTGTTTCACTAATAAAATTTTTTAAAAAATTATCACATATCCTGAGGCTTGAGGGATGGTCTAGGGGATGTGGTCATTGCCTTGCAGGGTACCAACCCTGGCTCTATCTCTTGCACCTTATCCAGTCACTGAGTATCTTCAAGACTGATCCCTGAGCACAGCACCAGGAATACACCCTGAGCAGCATAAACCCCCACCGCCCCAAATTATATATCCTCTATCTTTTAATTTCTTCCTCCTGTGTCTTATTATAATAGTATATTTATACCCAATTCACTAAACGTGCTTTGAATTTGTCCTCTATAATAATGAAACTAAATTAGGAAACAACTGTGTAACGTATTGAAAAAACTTAGTCGAGAATTACCCTTCTCGCCTCCGATGGTTTGAGGGAGCTAGTATAATTCAATAAAGTTGCCCTATTTTTAAAGCCAGTGCTTGTACTCCCAACCACACATTATATTCCTCCTCCTCTCTGTCCCAGAATATGATTTAAATTTCCAAAGTGTAGTTGCATTTTTCATTATTTTGCGGATATAATGTAAATATTTAAGCTGTAGTCTAATCAAAACCAAATGTCTCAGTGATAGCAAGAGAGATGTATCGACTCACCTGCACCCTGCAGAAATTGCCCTTGTGTGGGTGGGACAGCGCTTGATTGGCACGGAATGCAGATTTAGTGTGCTCTTTCTTCATACCCTATTAAAGAAGGTTTAGGCGTCCAAAACCTTTTCATGCTTTTTCTTATTTTGCAAACAGTATAGACCTAGCATTGAAAACCCACGAAGATGAATCATGCATTTTTTAAAAAAAAAAAGGATTTTCATTTCAATCATGAAAATAGTACTTAACAAATTTAACAATGTGGAATTATGTAGATGTATAAGACAAAATGTCAGAGTCCTCCTTTGTCATTTCTCCTTCCCTACTGGTGTCTGCTGCTAAATGCCTAAAATTCGGCCTTCCGACTTTTTTTGCCTGCCTCAGCTGACACTAATATATGTATGGAGCTATTTCCGACACTGAGCTCATACTGTGGGATCAGTACTCTGTGCTCTGTTGTCAGCACGAAGATGGTTTGATTCCTGGATGGCACCTTGAGTGATGTCTGAAGGATTTGCAGAAGTTCATGAAGTTTTTTGTTGTCCAGCTTCAGTAGCTGGTTCGAGGATCACCTCAGCATCTTGGTCTCTCTTTTTTCACCTATGTTTGACACCATTGGTCCTGTCCTTCACTGCCTTGTCTCTCACTGTCTACTTGTCCCGGGTGTATCAGGGCCTGTCCTGAGTACTGAGGTCTGCACCCAGAGCTCTGAAACCAGTGTCGCTGGGGCTGCTGCCCCTCAGGCTCCTCTCGATGCCCCGTGCCCAGCAATGCCCTATGCTCAGACACTTGCTTTGTTTTCAGCCACGTGAGAAATGAGGCTTTCTGCCCTCTGCCTGGCACAGGTGAGGGACCGAAGAGAAAGTTACCTGGCCAGGGGCTCCCTTTTGGATATTACTCTCTCCCACTCCCAGCCATTTTCTTATCTCTACTAACTGGCTACACCTTTGATGGAGTGAGAGTTGAAAGGACCAATTCAGTGAACTCAGTGATTACCTCACACCTCTTTCCTCTCCTCCACTTCCATTGTTAATACTGCAGCATCTCACTATAATAACTAAAAGGCTACAGGTATCCCCAGCGACTACTTTATTTTTTTTTCTTTTTGGGTCATACCCAGTGATTCACACGGGTTACTCCTGGCTTTGCATTCAGGAATTACTCCTGGCAGTGTTCAGGAGACCATATGGGATGCTGGGGATCGAACCCAGGTCAGCCACGTGCAACGCAAACACCCTACCCGCTGTACTATTGCTCCAGCCCCTACTTTAATCTTTTGACTCAAGTCCTTTTCAGTAAGTTTCCAGGTTGTTTCCCACATTTCAGAGACAAACAATATTGAAGTAAACATTCATTTCTAGTCCCTCTGTGCTTTGTGTGAGTAGTTGTGGATGGTCCTTAAAAAATAAATTACTCAAAGTTTCTTCAGCTGGGTACTGTGTTGGTTGTGCCAGGATTTTTCACTCTTTCCACTTTTTTGCTCTGTTTTGGGGGGAGACCACACCCTGTGTTGCTCAGGGCTTATTCCTGGCTTTGTGCTCAAGGAATCCCTCCTGGAGCTCAGGAGACCACCTGGGATGCTGGGGACTGAACCTGGGTGAGGACCATGCAAGACAAGTGCCCTACCCACTGTACTATCTTTCTAGCCCCTATACACATTTTTTGAAAGGCCTTTATTCTTATTAGTATATAGCTCAATTTAATTAGATGCCTGTGTTCAAGTTCTTGCATGGGGGCTGATTTTCTGTCCATGTCTGTATAGCTGTGATCCACCCTGGGATGTTATTACCATTTTTCTATCCCTACTCAGTTGATAACTGGGTGGTTTTTTAACCTTATTCATTTTTTTTGCTAAATTCTTTTGCAAATTGTGAACTTGGCAGCTCAGTGTTTTGAGATATTTATAGATGGGTGAAGACTAATTGCAATGCAAGTTCATGTAGCTAGAGTACTTGATCTGTAAGCAAATTGGCAATAAAGCTTTATGAGCAAGATTAAATATATTCAATCGTCTAATTTTTCATCTGGTTGTTGCCTACCAAATTTTAAGCTTTTAAAAGTTATACAAAGTCTGTACTTAAGATCTACAAAACCTAGCAGCTAATTCCGTAACAAAAAGCTTACTTACTTCTTACATAAGATGCA